AGAAGAAGATAGACAGTTTTTTCAAGAATTAATAGTGGATCAAGAGGAGATAACAGATATTGTAATGAATGAGTATCATCATTTGCTTCATACTGGCTATAACTATAAAGGTGACAAATTGGTGCATATAATGTGGGTATATATATGTACCGAGGGTGATGCTAAGAAAGTGTTAATAGATATACCTCCATCTAAGATATTATCAAGAAAGGTTTTAACCCATATTGAAAAAGGAATTTTCTTATCTACCTCTTGCGCCGGTGATTAGATAACTTGTGTAACTTGACATTTTCACTAAAATAATTAACCTATCATATGATATGTGTGTCATAGAATGTAATAGAATCATATTGATCGAATGAAGAAAAATAGGTGGTTCAAGATTGGCAAATAACATATCTTAAGCAACTAAGTAAAGTTGTTTTTTACTAACAAATTATAATAATAAACAAGACAAAAACAATAATATTTAACATTAGAAGAGAAAAGTAAAATAAGTTTTTGCAGGCTCATACATGTTGATTGTTAATTCTAATTATTTCTTTGATAAGAAAGAAACAGTTATTATTATTTATTTTAATTATATTCCGAGAGCAATAAAATATATATTTAATTGATTAGAATAATTGAAATAGCTTAAATAGGTTGTGAATATGTTAGTTTTATGTACGGAGTTATTATTTATTTTATTTCATTTTAGATTATTATAATAAATCAAATCAAAAACAACAAATCAAATCAAATAAGGAATTAATCTCCATCTAGTTTTAACATATTCATCCCATTCTTTTCCAAAATGATCTTTCAGCATTGCTTCTTCTTTTCTCATTCTACTTAATATCACCAAAATCCTAATCGCAATTAAAATTTTAAACACAATTGATGATGGATGACACATTGATATGAAGAATGATAATAGTGATGATGATTCATATAGTTTGATAAATGGTGCAAGTTGAGAGGCTAAGTAAATTACATTTGGCCAAAGAATTAATAGTGCGGCATACTATAAATAAAAATAATGTAAATGATGTAAAAATAATTTTATGAATCAGTAAATAATAAAGTAATAGAATAATTAAGTAATAAAAATAATAATCATATTTACCGAAGGGTGAATTAAATATCTATAAGGACCATGAGCAATTAATTTATGATCCTTTTGAATTTTAATATCAAAAGTAAAAAATTTATTAAGAACTTTATAACACCATAATCTTAACGTTATTCCAATAATTTTCAATACAGAAACTACAATAAATGTATTATCCCATTCTGATAATTTTGGTAAATCATTACTAGTATATTCCGGCTTTCCGCTATATTCTTGTTGATACATTATATAAACATAAAATCCGTATATCATATATAAATGAAATCTTCCAATTTTTTTCAGTGGATAAAGAAACAACGCTCCAAGGATTCCTTCTCGTTTGTAGACATCTTTGAAAGTTGATTCGATTTTATTGGGTGGTGTTAATGCTTTTATAAAATAATAAAATAAAATTGTTATCAAAATAAATTTTGAAATCATTTTATAAAGTGCGTATAGAAGTGTGTGGTGTGGGAATAAAATTTGTACGGTCAAGAAAACTTCTTGTTTGTATGATGGGTTATGAGTGGTAATATAGCAGAACGATGATTGTAAACGAGCGGTAGTACGATCGTAAATAATGTATAGACGATCGGTAGTACGTCGTAAATAATGTATAGACGATCGGTAGTACGATCGTAAATAAGTATAGACGATCGGTAGTACGTCGTAAATAATGTATAGACGATCGGTAGTACGATCGTAAATAATTAACGATATGATGTGTTCATCATGAAAACTCTTGTCAATCTTGACCAATCAGGAAATTGTTTGCATAAAAAATACGAACCTTCACTAATACGCCCATTAAAGTTATATAAAATATTTCCAGAATTTAAGTCTCTATGTACTATATTTTTAGAATGAAATTCCTATAAACAATTCATTATCATAAATTATATTATATTTTTGTATCCACGTAAGAAAGTGATAATTATCTATTAAAAAATGTCTTAAATATTTATCATAATGATATAACACTAACATAAAATCTTAGGTAATTGGATCTTTGGTAAGTTCATAATACTTGGCAAGAATCAAAAAAGTACTATCAATTGTGAAACTTAATGTCATATTTTAGAAATAATATATTAAAACAAAATTAAAGATTAGATTTGTCTGATTTGGGGAGGTAGTAATTTTATTAGTATTATAATAAGCCATCTTTTGCATTAGTATTTCTTACGGTCATTATGGTTATATTTACTGTATATTCACGTTGTTGCCATCATTATTACACTACTGTTGGGATGGGGTGATTCACTTGTCCAAGTGGAATTCATTCGGCTGGTATTTATATTATGCTGATTGAGAGGATTGAGAGGTAAGTAAATTTAAGTATACAGTATATATATATGAAAGAGAGAATTTATATTCTATTTCTATAGTATAACATATTTTTTTTTTTTTTTTTTTAAAAAAAAAAAAAAAAAAAAATCCAACAGAGTCTTGCTCCAACTATAGTATGACATATAAAAAATTAAAAATGTATATTATAATAATAATATATAATATTATTCTAAACAATGAAAATTTATATCAAAAAATGAATACACCGATTGCTACAAAATTTTTTCAATACGTAGCTTTTAGCTACTCAAGTCTACATTCGAGGATCAGCTATATCAAGGGGACAATCTTTACCCCTAGGTAATCATCACTTATTGGAAGCTGTATTTGTCCGTTCAAGTATATTAATAAAAATTTAATTTTTTGAAACTTTTTTTTTGTAAAAAACCGTTGCAATCTTTATAAATATTATATTAATAACAAATAGATTATAATATTCATTTGATAATAAAAGTGCAATAAAGTTATTTAAGTTTGCATATTTTATGAATATGAAAAAATTAAAGTATTAAAAGTATTACAATTATTTTAAAATTAAATATTTATCTCCCATTATAAAAATTGTAAATTTTCGTTAAAATTTAAAACCAAACGTACATAATAAATATTAGCTTTTATCGTGCAACATAGAATTTTTTTCTAATCGATTTTATAATGTAATGTAACCTATGTAACCTGAGGCTTCGAAGACTTAAATATGTAAATTTTTGAGTGATTAAAAAATCGTGAAACAATTCACGAAATTATTATTTCAGCTACATCTGTTACATAATTCCATATTTATTGTATTAACACTTCCAGTACACCGACTATTTTAATTTAATTAATACATTAAATATTAAATTAATATTCCAAATTTATTATTATAAATTTATTTATTGTTTTTTTTTATTCAAAAAAAAAAAGAAACTTCTACCTTATATCTATAAGTGAACAAAAATGGTTGAATATGCAATCAAGGAGATGATGATTGGTGCAATCCGTACAACTCATTTCAAGAATGAATTTGATAAATAGACAAGTGGAAACTCAATGAAACATAAATGATTCATGGTTTTCAATGAGGCAATAAAAACTATTTATTATGCTAAGTAGATCGATGGATTTGGGATTTTAGACATTGTGACGAGATGGTCGACAAGTGGTGTTAAAAAAATTTGAAGGTTTTCGAAGATTTCTTAAATGAGGTAAAGTAATATTTTAAATTAATATTTACAATATATTATATTAATTATAATTTAAAAAAATAGATTATTTAGATAGCTATTCATTTGAGAACAGGAGGATACGTTATTGCAACTGGATTTTATGGCATTACAAACGATCCAGAAACTCACAATTATGTGATGGTATTAGAATATTTAAAAGACGGAAATCTTGGAAATTATTTAAATAATAATTTAATTTTATCGATATTCTATAATTCTTCATTACTATTTTATGGGTTAAGTAAGTTAATCACGGAAAACAAAAAAAAAAAATTCTCAAAGAGAAAAGTTTAGGAGTATTACCATATTTCCTGAAGTTTTAGAATTTTTTTTTTACAATCATTGCTGAAATAATTTCCATATAAGTTAGAGTTTCATAATACCAAGGGAACTTTTGTTTAGCTGTATCCAAAAATTCCACACTTCCACAAATGATTATGTAATTTTGGGAGAAAATCAAGAATGAATGCTTATATTACATATTTATTTATTTTTATAATTATTAAATGATAGAAATGAGCTAATATGAAAATGACTAGACTTTCTTCAAAAGAAAGCATAGTAAATATCATAATACAAATTGTTCGACAACGCAAAAGTAATAATCCATAAAAAAAAAACTATCATTAAAATTTTATTAATTAATGAAGTTTTAATTTAAACATATAAAATAGAATCACTAAGATTACAACTTAATGAACTTAGAGAGACAAGATAATGTTCAAATTATTTTTAATAATTAGCGAAATATATTAAATTTAATTAGTTAACGATCAAATTAATTTAATTAAATAAATTTTAAATAAGAATATGATTGAGAATTTGAAATAACATTATTTCGACCGATAAATAACTGAGATCATTAAATGCCACTTAGAAATCAGGTAACAATTAAATTATTTTATATAATGTTAAAATAAATATATAAATTATCAATAATTATATAAATTTATTATAATCTCAATTAATCTTAAAAAATGGATTGAAATTACAGGTGAAAAAGGTATATATCCTAACTATTGATTAATTAGTCTTTAATAATAATAATAATAATTATTAATTATTTCGCAATAAATTTTGTTCTATATTCTAATCATTAGATCATGAGAAAGATGAATGATGAGTAAGTTCTAATCGAGTAATCGATTATAATTTGTTGGATTATTTTTTATTAATTTATTTATTTTTCTTCTTTTTTTTTGAATTTTTTTTTTCTCATTTAATGCAGATAAATATTTGTTATAATTAAATTTAACGTTAAATTCATATATTCAATTTAACAAAAAAAAATAAAATAATACAATGAAACAAACAAAAAAACTAAATATATATGTAATTTGGGATTATAATTATTCTATATCAAATTGAACTCCATATTCTTCAATAACTTTAAAATGTTCATCACTTAATGTAAATGGTAGTGATCCTGTGTATCTTGCAATAACATTTTTATTTCTGTCTAATCCTTTATAACACCACCCTCTAAAAAATTTTCTTAAACTACTAGCACTAATCATCCACGGATTTTCATAACCCATTATAATTTCAATAGTTTCAAGTGATTCTGGTACATTTTTAGCCATTTTACATAATAATTCATCAGCATCAAATCCTTCTATTTCACAATAAAATGGAAATCTTCTTAATTCATTAAAATTATGATTAAATATTTTTATTACTTGTTCAGAATTTAAACTATTTAGAGATGATTCAGTAATCCTTGTACAATAATTTAAAATTGCCGAAATTATATCAAATGTGAATTCGGGATATAAATCAAGATAAATATTTTTTAAATTTATATTGGCCGTTTCGAGAATTTTTATAATAAATTCTTGAGAATACTCCTGAACTGCAGATTCCGAATGAATATAACGAAAATTACTTAATTGAGTAAATGATGAAGCCAAGAATAAATAATCCGATTTATGAAATCCAGAACAATCTTCAATATAAAGTTCTTGAAGCGAAATAAATTGACCAATTAGTGATGAATTCCACTCAACATGATTTAAATTTAAATAATGTAAACGAAGACTCTTTAATGTATCTTTTTGACTGATGATGGCCCAAAATAATGAATTACAATCTAGATGCTTATTGACAACAACAATTGATAGATTTTCCAACAGTTTTTGGACACTAATAAGTTTTGCTGATAATATAACATGAGAATCTGAAACAAACAAATCTAGATTTAAAATATTATCACAATTTAATGCTATTGATTTATATAATGGACAAATATTTTCTATTTTCGAAGTAAAACTTTCTAATTTCTTAAATACTTTCGGAGCACCAGGTAACTCAAGAATTGAAATAATTGATTCACTATATTTATGAATGTTTCCAAAAATTTTAAAAGAATTCAAAAATGTACAACGATCGATTATTAATTCACATATCCTGCAAAATAACTCTCTCGATTTGGTATTATTATTATTGTTACAATCTTGATCCGGACCAATAATTTGTCGTGAATATATGGAAATAAAATTAACTAAATTAACTATTATTAATTTATGAGTGAATGAGGATAATCAAAAATGGCTTCAGGTGGTGATGACGATAAATCAAATCCATTTTGAATAAGTGAAGTTCTAGCTTGAGTCTTCATACATGATATATAAGTTCGAATACATAATGATTTCTTTTCCACCTCATAACCCATCCAAATTTCTTGACCCAAAGTTAATTCCCAAAGTATAGGTATAGTAACTTTGCACCAGATTCGATTAACTAATAATGATGAATATAAATTTTGAGTTGAACGAGATGATTTAACATTTTTTAAAATTTTAATTAATATTTCTGTTGAAATCTTAGTTGCCATTTTCTTTTCTAAGAAATAAAAATTTTAAGAAATGAAAGAGTTTTTGAAAAAAATAATCGAATCACATTATAAATAAGGAAATCAATATGATTTTCGTGTTTTGTTAAACGTATTGTGCATGTACAACTCTCCCTACTTAAATATCCTGAATTTTCTGCTTAAATGTGATACAAAAGAACGATGTTCATTTATTTTATTTTTTAATAAAAAAAATCAGATGACCCACCAATGACCGAAAACATTGAAATTTGAAATTTGAACGAAATTAACGTATGCAATTACTTAAATTTTTTAAATTTTTATAAATAAAAGTTAAAACTAGACGAACAATTAAAAAATAAAATAATTATTAAGGTCTTTAATTTTCTAATTGAATGTCAAATTTCAAGACTCAATTACCTTCAGAATTATCCTACAAAAATTGTAGTTTGGATATTTTTTTCTCAACATATAGTAATGTATTAATTTGATTTCGAAGTTAAGTAATCTTATAAATATTCTTTATCAAGCATAAAAATAGAAGATTACAACAATTAAACAAGCAATGACAATGGAAATGATGAAGCTATGAGAGAAAATTATTTGTGATTAATATCTAAAAAGATGGATTGTAGTTATTCCTGATTTCACAAATAAAGAAATTCTTTTTACTTTTATTTTAAAATATTTCAAAAATCAAAATATTTTCAAATATTTCAAAAATCAAAATATTTTCAAATATTAAAAAATAATAAAATTCTTAAAATAATTCTTAGAATAAATAAATGTCTTAATCAAATCTTAGTCATTTCTATCAAAAAAGACAAAAGAGAAATAGTGATCTACTTTCTGGAATAATTTCTGGATGTTCAAAATATGTAAAAACTAAAAAAGATTTCTTTAGAAGTATCTGCTAATTTTGAAAAAAATTTAAGATCAGCACCAGAGTTCAAAATAAATGGAAAAAGAGTAGAATTACCAAGGTTCAAAACAATTGAACTGGTAATAGTAATTGAAACAGGAGTGGAATTGCCAACAGCAACAGTGTCAAGATTTGAAATAATTGAATCAGCAGCAACATCACCAGCAGCAATATCATCATCAGCAGCAGCAACAGCAGAAACAACAACATCAAGGCTCACAAGTAAAAGGAGGAGAACTGAAGCAGGAAGTGTAAACAGCATTCTAACGGTAATATTCAAAAAAATGTCAAATAAAACATTTTAAAACAAATTCTTATTATTTTATTTATTCTAGATGACACTCTGACAACTCATAAGTAAGTATCTCATATTATGGGATATTTTGATAAAATTGACAATAGACAAATAAAAATTGAAAAAGATATTCTGGATGTCCAAAGAATGCTGGAAAAAAGTAAAATGTAGGTGGAACATGATGAAATTTATAATGAGAGTTTTATCAAAGTAAATATTTTATTTATTATTTTTTTGTAATATCAATAACTTTTTTACTGATTTGAAATATTTCAAAAAAGAGATTTGTTGGGAAAATTGTAAAAAATAAATTAAAGAGAAGATTTATCTTAACTTTACAATATTAAAAGCTGCTACTGCTTATTACTGTGATAAAAATTATTCAGAAATTTTTTGAAAATGAAGATTGGTCAGAAAGAAAATGGACTCTTTATTATGATTCAAAAATTCAAACAGAAGTATTTTTTTTTTAATATTGAAAAAAAAATTTTAAAAATTATTTAAAAATTTTTGAAAATATTTCAGTATTAAAAAATCATTGGGACCAAAAAGGTTTGCTATCTTTTCACATCAGAACTACAATATTTCAAGTTTACCAAAAAAAAAAAAACCTTCTATTTATAAATTTGAAGGCTGCACCTATTGAAATAAAAAGTGGAAGAAATCATCTGTAGTTAAAAAATATTATGATTTATTACACTCAAAAATTAATGACAATGATGATACAACTTGATGTGGAAGAATTCTTAATAGACTTTAAGTGGATCTTTCTAAAGCTCTTTCAGAGCAAATTGCTTTTATCATTTCTTTATGTGATTTTTTTGAATCTTAAAAATGAAGATATTAAAAATAATAATAAATATTTGTGGATTATGACAAAAAAAAATAATGTAAGTAGAAAATAGTCTATTTTTTCTTGATAATTAAAAATTTAATATTTTTCATTTTATAAGAAAATATGAAAACAGTAAAATATTCAGTTTAAAAACTTTTGGCTCTGATGACAAAATAAAAGAGGAGAAAAGTGAATTGTCATCAGAACAAGAGGAGGAGGAAAAAGAATAATTTCAAAAGTTTCAAATATTTTCAAAATAATTTTTTATATATAAATTTTTAGTATATATATATATTATATTTTTGAACATTATGAACATTTATTTATTTTTTTTTATTGTTCTAGCAAGGTCTTGTCTCAAATTTATTAATTAAAAAAGGAGAAAGTCTTTTACATTACATAGAATTATATAATACAAAATACACAACTTGTTTGAAAAGATGAGACTTGGACTAATTTATATGAGACATTTTCACAACCTACTGTCTGACAAGTAAACTTGTCCATTATGAATATTTATTTATATTTTTGAGCATTATAAACATTTATTATAATTTTGAATATTATAAACATTATGAAAATTTATTAGTATATATATTATATTTTTGAATATTATAAATATTTATAAATTATTATATATATTTTGAACATTACGAACATTTATTAGTTACTATATTTTTACATAATAAAAAACACTTAGTTTATTATATTTTTTTACATAATAAAAATTTTATGAAATATTGTAAAAAATAACAATTAATTTAAAAGTAATTAAAAAAACTAAAGAACTAATCTAATTTGAATATTTGAAAAAAAAACTACATTTATCTAATGGCTGAATTAAGTTAATGTTGGTAAAATTAGGATTAGGATTTGACCAGGAATTATGTAATTCTGTTTACAGTGAAATTTTCCTTTGGTAAAAATTAGAATCACTTTTTAAAAAAATATAAAATAAAATTCATCAAAATCTTTGGAAAATTTCAAATTGATACTAATGAAAAAGAAAAAAGAAAGATGTTAGAAAAAGTATTAAATAAATTAATTCAATCTCTGTGTACTGTTTCTAAGTAAACATATTAGCATCTGAAAGTATCCTATTTCTAGATAGCAAAGTTATAAATAACTTGTTGAACAATTATCTGAAACTTCAAAAAATTACAGAAAAGGTAAAAAACAATAAAGATATGAATATACGCAGAAAAAAACTATAAAAAAAGTAAAGCATCATAGTATAAGAGTTGTGTTAATCAAGAAAGGGAATATTGAGAACTTTTCTTATAGAAACTCTACCCTAATCTATCAATTTAATACTATCAAAGGGACTCAAGAAGTTTCATTTGAATCACAAATAACCTGGAAATATAATATCAAATGAAAATTTTATAGATAGCAATGGCATTCAACCTGATCAAAAACCAACATACTTACTTGAGAAATAAATAAGTTTTTGAAAATTTCCAGAAATTTTTATCCTAAAATTTTATGAATAAGAATCTTTGAAAGAGTTTGAAACAAGATCATTTAGTATAATTATTTAGTAATAAATAAACAAGATCATTTTGTATTATATAATAAAAAACTTTTTATTTGACAAGTAATTGACTCTTCTGAAGAAACTCTATTTGTAGCAGTTCTCGTCTTGTTGCCATAATTTTACCGCAGTAATCTTTACATAGAATATTTCTATTTTTATTTATTTTTTTTATTACTTTTATATTTTCTTTTTATTTTATTTTTGCTGTTGATTTCACAT